TGCTCATTTTCTAAAAAAGAAAAGGCTAAAGTTTTCTTAAGTGATGGGACTCATACCTGTCTGGCATACAATATCATATATATGTATCAGTAGTGGCAGTCCTTTACTTACGACCACAATTAAGCCCAACATTTCTGTTGCCAGGCAAGGCAGTTGTTAAATGAGTTTTGCTCACTTATGGAAATAAGTTCATTCACATTTAAGCCTATCCTAACAAACAAATGTTCAGCCAGTTTGGTGTAGTGTTTAAGCATCAGGCTAGAAAACAGGACATTGTGAATTCAAGTCCTGCTTTAAGCATGAAACCAGGTGGGTGACTTAATTGGTTAGTAATTTTCTCTTAGCTCTAGGAAGGAGGCAATAGCAAACCACTTCTGAAAATCTTGCCAAAAAAACTACAGAAACTTGTCCAAACAGTCTCTGAGAATTGGACACAACCGAACAGAAAAATCTCCTTAGACTTTGAATAATAAAAATTCAAACAATCCAGCTTGCCTTGAAAGAACAATTCTGTAGATAGATGCGACAACAGAATGATTCAAATATGCACAATCACAAAATGCATACATATTTTTCTCTAATTTTTCTATTCCATTGATATGTGAATAATTTGTGAAAATGTATTACAGTAAGAGCTAGGGTACTTCAAATCACATTCCACACTTTTATAGCTTTTTCCAAACTGGGTGACCTCCATATATATAACTTACAACTGTGCAGAATTCTTTGTAATTGCATGCTGGTTGTGGAATTCTAGGACCATAAAGTTGTATTTTTGGCAGATACCAAGGTTGTGGAAAACTGCTGTGGGAGAATTGTTTCTTCAAAAATTTTCTTCCATATGTGTAGTGTGGGAAGAATAATACTGGTCCAGTTTAAAGGGCTGTTGATAAGGACTATTAAGAGACCTGGTATAACATATACATGGTCTATTTTATATCAATGATTTTCTGGATTGGACCTTGAAATGCAAACTTAGTGGTTTCATTTGTTTCTAGGTAAAATTTAACTTAACCAAGCATGTAACTAAACCACATAGTTGTGCTAGTGGTTGCAGTTGAGGACACAAAACCACAATTGTTGCAGTTCCACTATCTTCATTTGGCATAAGTACTTAAGGTTTATTTTTCCTGTTCTAATCATGAGAATCAGGAACTTATTTTCTTCTTATTTGTGTACTTTAAAAATTTCATCTTTAAAAATATTAAGTGGATACAGCAGATGAATGAGCAAGAACAAAAGAGGAAGGAGAAAAAGGATCCATATTTCAGCACTTGCATTATATATATATATTGCAAGTGCTGAAATATGGATATATATATATTCATATATATATTCCATTATTGTTATTGTGCTGCCACCTTTTCTCTTAACTAGTTTTTCTGGTTCTGAAGTGTCTACACAGCACAATCAACTACAATGTCTTGGTGAAGAAAGTTGTAACCTCCTGGATTTCGTCCTGTCATTCACTTTATTAAACTATCAGTTGTTAATTAGTAGCACAAAAATTATCAGTGTTGAATCTTCTTACTTCTCTGAACCTTCTGACTTCAACAAGGAAATATAGATGCACAAAATAAACAGAATAAATTGCCATTATTAAATAAATTAAAACTCAAGCTGAAGTTAACTAGGTATTGTGCAACAGTTAACAGCCAAAACAGTTAGACTGTTAACTTCAACAGTCAAAATTGAAACAAAAAGAAAACAATAAGCATATAAAGTAGGCAAAAGGTTTGCCAGGGAATAGGAGCAAAATCACCTTCTAGCCTCAGCATCTCTTATTGCCTAAATATGGGGTGTACCATGAGCTGATTTTCCTGGAAAAATCAGGTAGGTTGAGTAACTTTGTTGGTGAAGAGCTGTGCAAAGTGTTCAGAGCAGCCAGAATTAGGATTAGGGACTCTCAACAAGGCTGTTGGATGACAGCCTGTCAATCAATAGATAGGGAAACATCATTGCCCTTGCCTGGCCTGATCTTGGATGAACAGGCCAGATCTGTCTGGCCATTACCAAGTCATGGGTGGAGAAAGTTTTGTCATACAAGACTCAGAATTGACCAGAAGTACCTTGAAGATACTCTAGATGCCTGGATCCCAGGATAACTTTTCAAATTAGAGATCCCTCACCTCCCCTAGAACTTACCTAGTACCATATATTCTGCTGTGTTAGTGAGAGCCTAGTAATTACTGAGGTTGCAATAAATAGAAGAAGGGCGGTTAACAATTTTGTCCCTTGGGTGGACCTGATAAAAAAAACCATTCTCCAAAACTATTGTTTCTTAGCCTTCCAAAGCTGGGATGAAAGAATGGAAATTGTCCTCCTTTTTGCAGGGTCCAAAAGGAGCGAGACTCTTTTTCATCCTGCTAAATCTCTGATTTTCATCATACTGATATTCTCCCTCATACCAAACAAGATGATCTGGGTGTATTGGGGGGAAGTCCCCAGTTTATTATAAGTTTGGAAAGAATGAGGGCTTTCCAGTTTCTGTGCCCTCACACAAATAAATTAAAGAAAGCCCCTTTTCAGTGGTGAGTACATTGGTAGGCCCCTGATATTTTATTTGCTTAACACACATGGTGTTGTGTTAAGTGGTACTAAATTTCTAAATGGTGGTTAAGCTTAGGGTTTATAAAAGAAGAGGGGTATCAGATTTAAAATCACACTCTAATAAAAGCTATTAGAAGGACAAAGTTGGGACATGGTGCTATCTTAGAAATGGAAGTGCTATTTTTGACAGTAAGATCATTGTCAAGCCCAACTGGGAACTTTTTTTCCCTTTTTTTATCTGACACTGCTTATCATTCTATAATAGTGATAAATTATTAATGAAATATTTGCAGCTGTTTAATTTCACCATTGGTATTAAACTTTCAATAAGGCTGCTGAATATTAACCTGCGTTTTATCCAAAACATTATTAGAATGTCTTACCACTAATGGCAAACCATCTAAGAATATTGTGACAATATGTAGTACCCTTTTAGTTCCTTTAGGATTAAAAAAAACTAGATAGAAAAGTGTACCACTTCAAACTTGAACTCACTTTGATAATCAATAAGAATGTATGATCATCAAGAGCTATCCTTGTCTTTAACTCAATGCTAGGCACGTCATTTGGTCTGATAAATACTATTGTAATTGACAAGAATAGGTATTGGATACACAATATTCAATTCAATCCAGTTTATTATAGTCATAGACCAGTCAGAAGCAGATATACAATAGATTTCTTGGGAGAAGCTTGCCCATTTTTCAAAATGCTTTCCATGTACAAATTAGGTAGGACAAAGACATGAGGAATTATGAAACTTTTGCTTTAATTATCCTTGCTAAAGTTATACCTCTGAAGTGAAATTTCAGCCTTTCCCTCTCTAGCATTAAGTATATAGACCAGGTATGAGAATTTTCCCTACTGCTGAGATTCATTTTAAAAGTCCTAAAATAATATTGAGACCCCAGAACCAACTTCACAATAGCCTTTCCCAAGTTGATTCCTTCAGTTGTATTTTTAGATTTACTACTCCCCCTAGTGACCCACAATTCTGGAAGTTGCAATTCTGTTTTATCTGGATTTGGATTATCCCTGGCGTCATTCTCAACAGTTGCATACACCTGCAAAATAAAATCCAAGACATATTTTTATATTCTTTATTTGAGGACTATAAATGACAAACTTGGGCTACTGTTCTATTTCATTGAGATTCCCTAGAACTCCGAAGAAAGGAGAGATGTAAGGTGACATTTAAGCCAATTAAATCCACTGCTCCATGCTAACTCCCCCTTCACCTACGTGTCCTCCTTTATTTGATGTTGGAGACACAATTGGGAGTAATCACTGCAGTCAGCATTCCTGACAAGTTACAAAGGGAATTCACAAACTCATATCAGGTTTTCCTGATAGGTCATTTTATTTCATCTCTTATCTCTTTCCTAAGAGATATTGTCAGGGAAGGGGTTTTTCCTTACAGAGGGCATATGAAATTAGGCAGAGTGCCACAATACAACCATAAACTTGCCAATTGCTTAATTTTTCATTACTGAAATGTTACTAAGCTGGTTTCTATATTAGCACATTAGAGCAATTGATTTTGTGATGCAAGGGTGTTCTTGTAAGGCATCCTTGGAAAATCCCATCTATTGACATCAGAGGTGGGTTTCATATAATTTTACCACCAGTTTGCCGCACACTGAAACTGTGAGAGCATGTGCACACACTTCGTGAGAGCATGCACCTTCTGTTCCAGTGTGCGGCTTGCATGCATAGAGCCAGGGCAGGGGCGGCCACCTACAGGTCGTCATTACCGGTTCACCCAAACCCACTGAATACCACCAATGATTGACGTTCCCCAGGACTCTCTAATTTATTTATTTATAATGATCTGATAATGCTGTTGACATATGTCACATATAAGCGCTGAAATCATCATCCATTGCTGCTCAGAGCATTGCTGGTGCTGCTATTGCTACTACCACTAGATATAAACCCCTGAAATTCAAGGACCTTTGAACTTAAAACTTAAACTTATTATCTGCATTTTATCTAGGGTATGGCAAAAATCTAACTAATTATGTATCCACAACTGTTTTGGCGCAGAAATATTTTAGAGATCCACTTGCACAGAATCCCTTGTGAAGGAATGAAGAAATTTCCACTGCCTAAAGTATGAAGTATCCCAAGATCAGATGCTATCTGAATGGTTGATCAACTTTTTTTCCTTAGCTGTACAATGGAAGGATGAGATAGTGCCAAGAGTATTTGTCTGTGGCTCAGGGTTTAGTTTACTAACCTACTGAAAAAAAGATAGTTTGCTCATGATACGTGAGACTGGAATCTTCAGAAATCAGCTTCAAAGGAAGATGTTACAGCTTTTTCTACCAACAGTGGCCCAGAAAAGTTGCAGTAAAAGGAAAAGAACAGCTGGGAGAAATTGCTTTCTGTGTTCAAAATATCCTTCATTTACATATTTTCTGGCTTTGCCTATTTTTGTCTTTTGTTAGAGTAAACTTAGCCCTGGCCTACACAGAACTCACCGAAGAGCTATGCCGCCTAAGAAACCTAACTTCTCTTCAAAGTCAGATTCTCCGGACTCTTATGCAGGAACAGGTCATGAATGGTGAGTGGAATTGGGGCATAAAGGAATGACTGTATAGTTGGCCTGCAGCAAGCAAGGCTTAAATTATAGTCATGGAAGGTTGATGTCAAGTGTTTGCTGGTTTTTTTTCTTCATCTTCTTCCTCCTCCTCCTCTTCTTGCAGCAATCAAAAGTTACATATCAGACAGACCAATGGGAAAAAATTGATCAACAATCAATAAATAACACACATTTATTAAAAAGGGAAAGCAACAATGATTAGACTTGAATCAGCTGTTAATTTGTTTTCATTACAGAGTCACTGAATTTAGCTGCCATATTGTATCAGTAATAGAAAGTTTCATATTTAAGAGAAATAAATTCACTTAAATTGTTCTTAGTTATTGATAATACATGGTGAAGATATAAGTATTCTGACTATCTTTATAACAACACATGATGAACTATTTCTATATACCCACAAAACATGGGTACGTAGCTAGTGTGATTTTAGAAGACCTACCTTGTGAAAGTGCAAAGAAAAAGGCATTAAATGTTGCAGAGACAGGTGGTACTTCACCCTTCCCACTTGCTTTGATAAATATGATGATTCTAATTTCAATCACGATCAAGAAAGTTTACAATTCTTTTAGCCTTTGCTATAAACTTTTTAAATAAAACATATTTTCTATTAAGAATCAGATAGAACCAACTAGTATGTAATGAGTGAATAGCACCAAAGCTTTGACTCGTACTGATCATGTGAGCTTTCAAAATTGTCTAGGGATCTTTTGGAAGTTGGTCAGTCATTGCTGTGGATATCTTACCTATCCTCAAAGCATCTATTCTTCTGTCCCTTGTTCCAGGTGAGCGGCATTCTCCCCATTCCCAGCGCCATTCTCCTGCCCAGCAACGTGGTTCTCCAGCTCCTCAATGTACGTCTCCAGCTCAACAAGGGAGGCCTTCTGCTCCTCCTAGCCAATCTCCAGCCCTACAAAGGCGTTCCCCAGGCCCACCTGGTCAATCCCCTGCACATCAACGTCGTTCCCCAGCCCCCCCTCCTTGCCAGTCTCCTGTTAGCCAGCGGCGTTCACCAGCTCCACCTCCCAACCAGTCTCCTGCCCAGCAGCGCTGCTCACCAGTCCAAAATTGTTCATCACCTGCCATGACTTCACAACATAGATCTCCAGGGGCTGACAGAAACATTATGGATCTGGGATATTCTAAGCCCTCCAGTCACCATATCAAAGCAAGCTTCCAAGGTCGTCGAAGCTACTCGGAGGTGAGCGACGCTGCTCTGTATCAACAGAACCGTTCTCTCTGGCTGCAGCCAGAAATATCCACCTTACCAAAGCATCGTCCCTACTGCGAGGTTTATGCCAGAGACAACTTCGAAGAGCACTTGCGCTTTGAGAAGCAGTCCTCGGATGAAGACGACTGGGCCCTCCCAAGCCCCCCCAGCCCTGAAGTAGGGGGTATCCGCTGCGCCTCCTTCTGTGCAGGGTTCCCCATTCCCGACACCTCCATGCACCGGATTGATGCATCGTACTCCAGGGCTGAGCATGCTCAGTCCTGGCCCTCAATCAATGTAAGCAACATGCAATACCATGTGTATTCTATACCTTTTCCCCACCCCAGTTTGAACTCAGTTCAGAATCAGTTAACTAAATGATCTTTCATTGCCCAATTTATTTTACTTATAAAGATTTTCTAAGGGTGCAAAGTGTTTATGGTATATATTTTAATATTACAGACCAAACACTTAATCTTTTGGGTGGGAAACAAAATTTGTGAGATCCAATCTTCCCAAGATAGGGTAACCATCTTTTAATTACACATTGACAAGGTCTTGGTGACACAATTATCCTAATATATCAGGCTCCCCCTCTTATGAGTATAGCTTCAAGAACCCCTAAACATAGTATATAGGTAGGAATTCACATTAATGCCTGAATTCAAGTTGATGCCCATTTTGGAAAATATGCAATGATCAATAGTATGAATCAAATAGATTATTTAACTTCAGAATTTTAAAATCTGTTCAAATCACACCTAATCTTAGCAATTAACATCCAACCCAAGTAGTTCCTCATAATGTTCTAGAAGATGCTTGACCTTTCACAAATTTGCAACATTTTCCCCACATCTGATCAGAGTTTGCACTCTAAAGTTGTCCAATTATTTCCAACAAGGATGGAAATGATATTTTGGTATCATGTTTGTAGGCATGCTCATGGTAGTTTAATTATTTTCCCATGTTCAATATTTATCTTGATTAACATTATTTCATTTTACTGCTTATTTTGAATTGCATTCTCATGCTGGCTTGTACAATAAAGACCATACAAAAACATGTTTATAGTCCTATATAATATAGAATTAACTAGAACAACGGCAGTAGAAGATAATTTAACTGTGCCCCCAAAATGCTAATGACCACTTAAAACTATAAAATGTATCTCAGTTAAAAGAAAGCTTTCAGGTAAGGGACCTCATGTACCTTGTACAGAAGGCTTTTTCTAAGAATGGGGATCATTTTAACAAGTTTAAAAATAAAATAAAACAGGTTACGTATCAAGGCTGTTAAGGGAGGGAGCCTGAAGTATCTTCTACAGCAGCAGCCCCCAACTTTTCTGGTTCTGCGGGCGGCAGGGATGCTGGTGGGGCAGGGGATGGTTTGTGGGGCCTGATACCCAACAGGCAGTGGCCCGATATCAGGACTGGGGAAGTTGGGGATCGTATTATGCAGAATGCCTTTGATAAGAAAAGGGAATCAAGATTTTTTACAATTAGCAATTGTCTGAGAAAAATAGGACTCTTTGGCTTTGATCCCTATCCTGAAGACTTCCACTTCTTTTGGGAGTACAGCACTTGGATCAGCCCCCAGGGTGGTTTGGATTCAGGAAATTGTACCCATCTGGATGGCATCAGTTGCAGAAGACTGGTTTAGCTATTTTTGAGCATTGTTCTTAAATACATATGATAGTTTGCATGTATATCTTTCAAGATTTATGCCCCCTGCCCAAAAATAAAGAGAGGCAAGCTGAGTAATCTTACAGATAAATTGTAATTTGTATAGATAAATATTTCATGAAATTAAGAATAATATTACATTGATGAATGAAATGCAAATAACTTTAGTGACACCAGTACTGTCAGATTTCAGCAGAACACTACATGCTATAAAGTGACAGGGAAGATCTAAAACTTCAAATAATTGTTACATTTGGTCGTATATAAAAATCACTTAAATTATTTGTTTTATTCTAACAGTTGATATCAAATACAGGATGATGCTATTTAATTATATTGTTTCATGAGGGCTGCTGCTGTAGAAGACACAACAAATCTGCATAAGGATCTTAAAAAGTATAGTTCACAGAATGTGTATACCCTCTGGAGTTTTCCACATCTAGCTATATGCCTTCCCTATGACTGGTCACTTTTCCATAACAGGAACCTCTCATTTTAACCACACATTTATTTAAATATGATTATGTTTTACCTTTTAACTTCAATTGTTACCAGCTAAATATAAGTTCACTTTTATGATACCTTTCTCTACTTTGCATTCTTTCCCTGTGTCCCTTAGTTGCTGATGGAAACAGTAGACTCTGACATCCGAAGCTGCCCTCTCTGCCAGGTGGCCTTTCCCATCGGTTATCCAGATGATGCTTTGATAAAACACATTGATTCACACCTGGAGAACAGTAAGATCTGAGGTCTGTTCCACCGTCTTTCCTCTTCTGGCTTCCTTAAAGAGATTGCCCACCTCATACCCACCCCACCTTTCCTGGATGCTGCATGAAAAGTGGAGGCACCACAAGGGGCTCTTTTCTCTCTAAAATACCTCCAAGTTTCCATTAGACTGAAGCGTGAATATTTTTGCCTCTCCCTTGTCTTCTTCTTTGCCTTGGTTTTTAAAGTGGGTTGCCTCTCCTTACTGCTCTTTATGGGCAGGACCTGCAATATTTCTCCAGTGCTTCAACCAGCCACAAAGGTGGGGAAAGGAATGATAAATATGCTGGAGTTAGGCTTAGCAGGGCACAGTCACCTTCACCGCCTGATTGTTCAGTACTGAGGTTGCTTCTGGTGATGGTGAGACTCTTATTTACATGGTTCAGTTTTGATGTCTCTGAAAGATCTCAGGGTTGGATGGGTAAGAAAATAACCCAGGTTTGCGTGTTTTGGGGTGGGATAGGAGAACAGGTTAATGAACTCCAACCCACTGAGGGCACAACAAATCACAAAGTTTTTGTTTGTGCCTGTTTTACACAGGGATATCCAAGTGGGTCAGATTTCTCTGCCTCTTATGCTACTACAAAGGGTATTTGGGGTTGGTCGTTTAACAGATGTAAAAAGCCTTGGCCTCCAATTGCTGGTACAAGTGTCTTTGTGTTGGTCTTTTACATTAAAAGTCCACTTTTAGCAATGCTGCTGAGAAATAGAGCCAACTTCCAAAAGTGTAGCATGGACGTTCTTATGTTATTGCACTGAATAATAAGCTTTTTTTCCCACAAAAGAAGCTCCTCTTTTTGTCTGTGTTGGCTTCTTGTGAGTTGTTCTGGAGGACTTGTAAACTGCACACTTAGGTAGAAGCCGAGAAAGCATTCCCATACTTTGGCGACTGTTTTACACACTTTTCACCACTTCACATCTTGCTTTAGATAGCTCTTATATAATAACTGTAGCTGCACATTTTGCCTCATTATTCTCTTGCAATGGCAGCATGTTGACATTATTGGGGTAACAGTGTAAATGTAAACATATTTCCATATTTGACACCACTGTATTTCTTTCATTCTCTCTCTCTCTCTTTCTCTCTCTCTCCCTCCCTCTTTCTCTCTTCTTACTCTCTCTTTCTCTCTTCTTACTGAAACTATATTTTATTATACTGCTCTAAGATAAGGGTCATGTACAGATGTATGGTACCTTTGTGTTCTAGGGATGGTCTCCTTGGAACAACCTATCTGTACATCAGGATTTATTTTTCAAAAAACAAGTGGAGAGGGGGAGAAGGGGTTGCATGGATTTTCTTCTTCTTGAGGCAACTGTCTTCCTATCTCCAGGTTCTATTAACAAATGTATGTGTTAAGATCTACAGCCTGCCTTATCCCAAGGTCTCGGACTGCCAATGGGCAATAGGCATGAGTCCTTGGGGCTTATAATCTATTTTTTTCCTGCAAACTAAGAAGAAATTTGAATTTTAGAGGTAAATAACAGAATAGAAACTTCTTTCAAATGTCATTTCTCTAGCTCCACCTTTTTGGCCACATAAAGCCAGGTGGAATCAGTGTTTCTAAGACTTAAAGCAACTTCTCCCAGGCAGAGGGCTCCATCTCTGCCGAAATTTCATTCTGATGATCCTAATGCCCATGATGCTGAGAAATAACTAATCCAGTGCATCTGGGGGAGGCACTGGGTTAAGGGAGACTAACAATAATCTCAACATTTTTTCTTTTCCATCTTTGTCTGGTTAAGATCACAAATCACCATATCCCCCCCCCCCGCCCCTTGTCTTTAATCAGATTTTAACTCTGTTCTATATGTGTCAATATTATTCCCATCCTTTATTTAAATTATCCCCCTGCAGAGAGAGAAACTAAACAGCAGGAGAATCAGGTCTTCAAACCTCCCCTGCTGTTAACCCACTGTCATACAAGAGGATGTCAGGGATTACATTAAAAAAAAAATAGCCTGCAGCAGAAAAGGTGCTGAACTCCTTTGAACTTCAGTTACCCTGCTTGCTTGGGTATTTTTAATCTAACCTGTTTTTTCAATTTCAGAGGCGATAGAAATACAACTGTGGGGTGGAACAAACCTTTCTAGCAATGGAAATAGGTGACATATTATACAAACAATCAAGTGGATTCAGCATTTATATATACATGGAGAGAAGCATCCAATACTTACATAACATTCAAATTCATTTGGTTCAAGTTCCAAATTTTAGAGAAGTAATTTGGGAAAGACTTTGCATATATAAAAAGAAACGTCTTTACATTGCTATGAGACTTTTCACATTGCCATATTGGTCCCCACAGTACTTGGAGCAGTGGTAAAATTCAAATTTTCTATGTTTTCTAAATTTTCAAGCTCTACGGGTGTGGCTTGGTGGGTGGGCAGGTCCTGTGACTGAGTGGACGTGGCCAACTTGATGTCACTCATGGCCACTCAGTCACATGACATCCCTCCCCAACCAAACCACGCTCACAGAACCCGCAAGATATTTTTTTTGAGTTTCTATTCTACCTATTTTCTGCCCAGGCCTGGTCTACTCTGTCAAACACCTGCCACTCTCTCTTCACCATGTGACACATCCTTACCTTCCTCCCGTGGCTGGCTGCCAGGGAAGACAAGCCAGGGTTGAACCATCACTGCTGGGCTCCCTGCCAGCCCACATTTCGCCTCCCTTGTCGCAAGATGCTTGCAGCCGCAGTCTTTTTTCCCCCAGTGCACCTGGAAGCACTTCTTGCGCCAAAAGATGCAGTGTTGCAGGCTACTTGCAGTGAAAATTACAGGAGCTGCTCCACTTCTTGAACCCAATGCTCTGCTGCCGGCCTGTTTCATTTGCCGGCTACGCAATGCACACTGTTGCCTGCTGCCACTGTGCCAGAGGGACTTGCCCTGGGAAAGTCCAAGTGGAGCAGCACAGCAGGCAACAGTGTGTGCATCCGTGGCTGGTGCATGGAATAGAGCGGTAGTGGCAGCATGTTCAAGAAGCAGAGCAGCTCCGGTAATTTTCGCTGCAAGAAGCCTGCAGCTGCTGCATCTTTCGCCACAAGAAGCACCTCCAGGCACACCAAAAAAAAGATGCTGGGGCTGCAAGCATCTTATGACAAGGGGGGGCCATATGTGGGCTGATGGGGAGCCAAGCCTTCCTTGGCACCCATCTGCTCGAGGAAGGTAAGAACGCATCAAATGGTGAAAGGAGAGCAGGCAGTGGGCGGGCAGCAGCTCCAGGGCAAGGCCAGAGCCAGGGAATGGCACATTCCCCAACCCGGTCAAGGCGGGCAGCAAGTGGACAGCAGATCCGGGACAAGGCTAGAGCCAGGGAATGGTGCATTCCATGACACGATCAAAGCAGGCAGTGACTCCGGGGCCTCGGGGCATGGCCCCTGACCCAAGGCAAAAGGCAAGCGGGCAGCATGCATTGCTTACCTTTGGTGAGCTGAGCGGACGAGGTGACTTGTGAGGCAATTAGTTGGGATGTGTGGCGAAGGCAGCATATATAGGGTGGGGGTGGGGCAGCAGCCAGAAGGGGTGAGCAGTGAACGGCTGGAAGAGGCAAGCGAGCAGCTGAAAGGGGTAAGCAGCAACCAGGCGGGCATGGGCACGGTCAACCGGTGTGATTTTTACCAGTCGGACGAACCGATTCATATCATCCCTATTGGTCTGAACTGGTTGAATTTCATCCCTGACTTTGAGTGATTTTCTCTAATTTGGCAAAGCTGCTCACCAAGTGAAAGTTCTAGTCCAGCGTTAGTCCAGTTGGGTGACTTAGGACCAATTCACAGGGTTGACGGGTAAAATGGTAGGAGGGAAGAATGTTAGGTATGCTTGATGCCTTAAATTAGAGGTGTCAAACTGGCGGGATGTGTCACATGCAGGCCATGCCCACCCCAGCTCCATGAAAGGAAAAAACATTGTGATAAGTCACATGAGAGCAACGTGATGCAGCGAGTTTGGCACCCATAACTTAGAAAAATAATAAAGGTAGGATAAGAGTGGTGTAGTGGCCTAGTGGTGAAGCCACTTGCCTCCCTCTCTACTCGGAAGGTACAGAGTTTATTCCTAGATAGTGGAAGATGTTTGCCTCCTAGGGTGCTAAGAAAAAATATCTGCTGTGAACTTCACATAGGCATCACAAAAGGCATCCAGCCAGTCAATGTTCAGCTACAGGGTTGTAAAAAGAAAAATATAAAATAGAGGTGGGAAAAGAATTCTAAAATTAAAAGAGAACCAAATGAAATCCCCTGAAAATGTGTTATAGACAAGTATTTAAGCACAGGCATGCTTCTGTCCATATGACTAGAACAAACTGCAGGGAGGATCTCAAAATGCTGAATCCACATTGCCTTTTAATGCATGATAGAAGATAGATTAAGTGATAACAGTTTTTCATCAGCTGAGATTTGGAGAAAGAATACTCAAAACATCCAAAAATTCTAGCTGCTGTACAACTATGGGAAATGAGGGTTTTGTTTTTCTTTGCTTTTTCCTCCTCTTATTTTTGTGCCTGTGATCAGGAGAAATGCACAAGGAAGCATGTCTTCTGATCTTTGTTTTGGGATTGGGGAAGTTGGGTCTCACTATGCTTTCTGCCTCCCAATGAAACCTGGAATCTTTTTACAAACTGCCTTTTATAGAGTTGGAAGAGACCCTAGAATACATCCAATGTGACCTCCTTCTCAGTTCCAGTGGAATATATCTGACAAATGATATCCAGGACATGTTTGATGAAATCAATACTCCATTTGCTGGTCCACTCCAGTGGCTAGCAATTTATATGATCAGAAATTCTTCTGGATGCATAGCCCAAACCTATTTATTCGTAGTTTTAACATTCTGGTACTAACTCTGGAACAACAAAAAATAATAATGCCACTCCTTTTAAGAGCAACTCTTCAGTTATCCGAAACGGCTATATCTCTTCCACAGGATAAGTTGACAAACATATCCAATCTTTTAATGATTGCTCATGAAGTTTCCTGAGATGCCAAGGAGAAAATTCATCCTCCATTGAAAAACACTTTTAAAGCCAGTATTGCATGGTGTGGTAGAACTCATAAATGGAAGTTATAGATCTATTTTCCTGCAGGCTTCCATAGGAGAATGTCCAGTTGTGCCCACTTTGTCTCTGACCCCGCCGGCCAGCCTTTAATGGGGACCCATATCAGCCTTGAAGCTTTAATTATCCTTCCCGATAGACCTGTTTCTGCTGAAGCCGACTTTGTTCACATACATTGTATAACAAATGGTTGCTACGCCTGTCATAGCTGCCATACACTTCAAATTTTTCTTGGTGTGCTGTAGCTCAGTACAAGGGCTGAACAGATTTCCTAAATCTCTGCAAATGTTAGAAAAAAATGAAAGAAGCCCTCCTGAGGAAGGCAATCAGGGCCTGCACCCATGTTCACATCATCAAATGAAGCAATTCAAAGAGACCTTGCATTGGCAGTGATATTCTCTATCACATAACTCCTGAAATTATCAAAAGAAAATGTTCATCTTGCATAAGTCACATGATTTCTACAACTATTTGGTTTTCTTTAAATAGGAAGAGAGCCACGTAAGTGGTACACATTTGGAAATGTATCTTGAAACTTTCACCTCTCTTCCATTTTGTTACATGAAATCTACCTCAATGTTTATGAGAAACAGGAATGATTACAAGCAAAAAAAATATCAACCAACCAACCAAGAATGGGGAGGGTGGGCTTTGAATTAAGGGAATGTTTTTATAATTTCATTTTTTAAAGAAGTCTATAAACTACTAAGGCAGTGTTTCCCAACCTTGTCAGCTTGAAGATGTCTGGACTCCAAGTTGACAAGGTTGGGAAACCCTGTACTAAGGGCTCAAATAGCACTCAGATTGTTCCCTTTGCTCTGAAGCTTCATAATCTTTTTTAAAGATCTCAAGGAGCAGTCAGCAATGTCAGGGACGAGTGAGAGCCCGAAATGGAGATGTAAACATGGGTCCCATCAAGGGTTCTTCACACTTGCTTCTGCTGGTATAAAATGGTGGTTATGCAATCGACCTGTATTGCACAAGGTTCCCAGTGTAAATTTTGTATTTGTCATAAAGACAATATACTGTTCAGACAAGCTCAATGAATAACTATTGTCATGGTGACATTTTTCCTAAATCCTTTGGGGAAAAAGTCTCACTTCTATAATCATGAGATTGAGAGAATATTCCTCCTATGTTAGGCACAATTAATACTTTTTCAGTGTTTACATCCAACATCTATGGAATTTACAATAAGTTAGATTCTACTTAGTTAGTCAGGAAGTAGTTTCCGCATATCCATAGTTGTACATTCTGGAGTATTTTACTCTGATATATTAAATAAATTACCAATTATGTTCTGACGTCAGCTGGAAGTTAAAACTATCTGTATGATAATTGTTAGGTTGATTGATGGCTGTTAGCTGTAAACGGTCTTAAAGGCAGGATGCTACTAAATGCCAATTTTTGGTACAGGAAGCTATTGTGATGTCCTGCTAATTTCCCCCCAAAACCTCAGATGATCCACTCAGTTAAGAGAATGCTGGATACATATAATTTTTATTCGGAAGAAGCAGGCCAGCCTTCACATTGCTAAACTAATGTCATGAGATACTGACAAATTAATATAATGCTAAGTTTACATCTCATACTAAACTATAGTGTGGTTTGCTTTTGGGTAAGGGCAATGTGAACCTGCCAATTGTGGCTTAGTACTATGTGTCAGCTAGGCTATAT